AGAGGGAGGTTGAGGTCCTCCACTAGTATAGTTTTGCTGTCTATTTCTTCCTGTATCTCCCTCAATTTCTCTTTTTTTGTATGTGAAAACAATTAAAAAATTTTTTTAACATATGTTTTCAAAACTTGGATTACAAATTTTCTCCCTTCCTCCGTCCCCACCCACCCTCATTGAAAAGGCAAGCAACTTGGTACAGGTTATACATGTGTAGTCATGCAAAACACTTCCATAGTAGTCATGTTGTGAAAAACTAAGTATATTTCCCTTCATCCTATCCTGCCCACCATTTATTCTATTCTCTCGTTTGACCCTGTCCCTCCTCAGAAGAGTTTGCTTCTGATTACCCCCTCCCCCAATCTGCCCTCCCTTCTATCATCCTCCTGCTCTCTTGTCCTCTTCCCCCCTTATTTTCCTGTAGGGTGAGATAAATTTCCATACCCAGTTGTGTATGTTATTCCCTCCTTAAGCCAAATCCTATGAGAATTAGATTCACTCATTCCCTCTCACCTTCCCCATTTCCCTCCACTGTAAAACTTTTCTTGTCTGTTTTGTGAGATAATTTACCCCATTCTACCTCTCCCTTTCTCTTCTCCAGTATAATCCTCTCTCATCCCTTAATTTTATTCTCCAGATATGACCCCTTAATCTTCAACTCACCTGTGCTCCTCTCTCTCTCTCTCTATCTCTCTCTCTCTCTCTCTCTCTATCTATCTATCTATCTATACATACATATAATTTTTTTCCTCCCACTACCCTAATACTGACAAAGGACTCATGAGTTATAAATATCATCTTTCCATGCAGGAATGTACACAGTTCAATCTTAATAAGTCTCTTGTGATTTCTCTTTCCTGTTTACCTCTTCATGTTCCACTTGAGTCCGGTATTTGGAAGTGAAATTTTCTATTCAGCTCTGGTCTTTTCATCAAGAATGCTTGAAAGTCCTCTATTTCACTGAATGACCATTTTTCCCCTGAAGGATTATACTCAGTTTTGCTGGGTAGGTGATTCTTGGTTGTAATCCTATCTCCTTTGCCCTCCAGAATATTATATTCCATGCCCTCGGTCCTTTAATGTAGAAGCTGCTAAATCTTGTGTTATCCTGATTGTTTCCACAGTACTTGAACTGTTTCCTTCTGGCAGCTTGTAATATTTTCTCCTTGACCTGGGAACTCTGGAATTTGGCTACAATATTCCTAGGAGTTTTCCTTTGGGGATCTCTTTCAGGAGGAGATCGTGGATTCTTTCAATTTCTATTTTGCCCTCTGGTTCTAAATATCAGGGCAGTTTTCCTTGATAATTTCTTGAAAGATGATGTCTAGGCTCTTTTTTGATCATGGCTTTCAGATAGTCCAATAATTTTTAAATTCTCTCTCCTGGATCTATTTTCCAGGTCAGTTGTTTTTCCAATGAGATATTTCACATTGTTTTCTAATTTTTCATTCTTTTGGATTTGTTCTACTGTGTCTTGATTTCTCATAAAGTCACTATCTTCCAATTGCTCTATTCTAATTTTTAAGGAAGTATTTTCTTCAGTAAGCTTTTGGACTTCCTTTTCCATCTGGCCAATTTTGCTTTTTAGGGCATTTTTCTCCTCATTGGCTTTTTGGACCTCTTTTGCCATTTGGGTTAGGCTATTTTTTAAGGTGTTATTTTCTTCAGTATTTTTTTGGGTCTCCTTTAGCATCACTCTCAGTTTTTCCTCTACTTCTCTAACTTGCTTCTCAAAATCGTTTTTGAGCTCTTCCATGGCCTGGGACCAATTCATATTTTTCTTGGAGGCTTTGGATGTAGGGGCTTTGACTTTGTTGTCTTCTTCTGGTTGTATATTTTGGTCTTCTTTTTCACCAAAGTAAGATAATATAGTCTGACTCTTTTTGCGCTGCTTGCTCATGATCCCGGCCAATTACTTGAGTTTTAAACTCTTTGTTAAGGTACAAATCTGCTTCCAATGTGGAGAATGTACTGTCCCAAGCTTCAGGGGTTTGTACAGCTGTTTTCAGAGATACTTGTAGGGACCTGTAAATTTTCAGTTCTTCCAAGGTGGTATGATAAGGGGCAAGGTGTTTACTCCTTTCCTGGCCTGCGACTACAAGTACTCCTTTCTGTCCTGTAACTGTGAGGAGGGGTTCCTCTCCACAACCACTACAAGCTCCACCAAGCCAGCGCTCCTCCTCACCCCAGCACCGCTGCCCAGAACTGTGGCCCAGATCCAAACATGGGCAAAGCAAGAGAGTCCTGCCTCCCCCCATTCTAATTTTTAAGGAGTTGTTTTCTTCTATTAGATTTTGTACCTTCTTTTCCATTTGGCCCATTTTACTTTTTAAGGAGTTCTTTTCTTCATTGACTTTTTGTGCCTCCTATTTCAGTGCTGGTGGGTTTCTGTCAGCCTGGAGCTTTGCCTTCTAGAGTTGCGCTTCCCAGAGTTGTGTTGAGTACCTGGTGATTTCGCTGCTGGAGACCGCAGTGCATGTGGTGGTTTTCCTAGCTGGTATCTACCAGTTCCCCTGCCTGCGTTGAGGCTCTGGGCGGGGAGGGGGTCCTGGTGTTGGCACTTGCCTGATCCACCAACCTGGGTCTCAAGATCTCTCCCTGGTATGCTGAGGTGGGGCTTGCAGATGACTTCCTATACTGCTCCCCCTCCCCCAGAGTGAGAGGGGCCTTTCCCGTTAATCTGTCAAGTTTCTTGGGCTACAAGACTGCAGTGCCCTGTCTTTTTCCTTTTTTCCTGGGTCTATATTTTCTGGGCTTTCAGAGGTCAATGAGGGAGGGTGAGAGCAACTTCTTATTCCACCCAGGAAATTTTCTAAACCAAAGTGAGATAGAAGTCTGAGATAGGGACTTTGATTCTGCTCAGCAGTAGGAAGCTTGTTCAAAGACAGATTTAAATACCTAGGGACTCTACTTACCTGTCTGGGCTGATCTGTATTCCAAAGGAGCTTGGCTCCTAGGGCCATGACTCTGGTAGCTGAGAGAACTCTTGCCTTAAGGAAGGAACTTTGTCTACCCTAGTCTAAAGAGTGGTTGTCTTTCCCTTGAAAAGAACTGACACAGCCTCTGGATTCCAGAAAAAATATGGCAGAGTTTCCATTTATGAGTATGCCCAATGGGGATGTCTTGCCACTGCACTCAGATGGCTCCCGAGGAGAAAGTGAGGCTGGTGACTGTGCACAGCCCTGCCTCACTTAAATCCAATTCACTTGTATGCCAGTTGGGCAACACAGCTTCCTTCCTTCCTGTCTCTCTCTCTCTCTGTCTCTCTGTCTCTCTCTCTCTCTCTGTCTCTCTGTCTCTCTCTCTCTCTCTGTCTCTCTCTCTCTCTCTCTCTCTCTCTCTCTCTCTCTGTCTCTCTCTCTCTCTCTCTCTGTCTCTCTCTGTCTCTCTGTCTCTCTGTCTCTCTCTGTCTCTCTGTCTCTCTGTCTCTCTCTCTCTCTTTCCCTTCCTTTACCTCTGTCCACATAGGGTATCATACCCTTACTTGACGGTGCTCTGCCCATAAGAATGTACGTTTTGATTGTTGAAACCTCACAAGATCTCTTGGCATTTATGGGCTGGATTTATTTCTTAAGGACCATGCCTTGACCCAGCCAGGAGCCATGTTCAGTCATCCTGATTTATATCTTGCCACATGCACCCAGATAGTTCTGGAGGAGAAAGTGAGACTGGTGACCTACCCCAGCGCTCCCTGAAATCCATTGGCTCCCTGGTGTCATGCAAACAACAACCACAAAAAGCCTTAACCCAAATCACTCTGGCTCTCACTGACTGGTCAGCAATAGGTCCCAGGCCAAGCCCGCCGTGGTCATTGTTTGGGCTCTCTTGGTTCAGACTGAGTGTAAATAGCGGCTGTTTCTGTTTTGGCCAGAAACCCTGAGGGTCTTCCCCTCCCAGACTGATTTTTGTTTTCTGACTAGGTAAAGAGGCCATTCTCTGCCTCACTTCTTCCCCAGCCTTAATCACTGAATGGGTGTTGTGTCAGTCAGACTGAGACCTGTTAAAGGCCTTAACTCGAAAAGGCCAAGGTTCCCCACTGCATCCAGGACCATCTCTGGTCATCTTGATCTATGTCTTCCTATTGGACCCGGATGGCTCTGGAGGAGAAAGTGAGGCTGGTGACCTTGCACTAGTCCTGCCTCACTTAAACCCAATTCACTTGCATGTCATAGCATTGCCTCCCTGCTGTCACAATCCTCTTCAAGAATGAAGGACAAACAACAATGCCCAATGGGAAGCCGCAGAAGGGAGCAGGAGCAACAGAAGCAGTGTGATAGCATTGATAGAAGATGCCATCATCCCTTTAGCATTAGTGGGTGTGCACCCTGCCTAATGTGTGTTTCCTACATCTGTGCCCTAGCCTTGTGGTCCTCATGTGTGTGCCTCTCTGCAACAGCCTGTTGGCCACACGTATTCCCTCTAGATGCATTCTCATGCATTATCCCTACACGTGTCTACTTTTTCTGCTGATGGTGTGAGCATTTGTGAGAGAGGAGGTCCCCAGTTTATGGGGGAGGGAGATGTTGTATTGTTACATTTCTTACTATGCTATTTGATTAAATACTTTTGCTTTGAACTAATTGCATTCTCTGGATGCCTAGTAAAGGTAAACACATCAGTGGGGGCTCTTGACATATGGCTCTTGAATGGATATGGCCCCAGAGAGACCATCAGGGATAGTTTTCTTTTGGAGACCCAAGTGGTGCCTTGATGCTGCATAATTGTGTATTGGCACTTCAGAATTGTGTAATCTGCTGCCTCTCTCTCTACCACCGTTCACTCCTCCCCCCTCCTCCCCTCTCTCCACCCTCAAGAAGTAACCAGCTCTTTGTCCAAACTCTGTGGTTTTATTGGATGAAAGACACAAGAGCTGGTAAGGTGGGGGAGTTGTGTGTGACAGGTACCCTTTTGGGCAGCGGCTCATCAGAACTTCAGGTGGAGCTCATAGGGTGGGGACACGTTGCCCAGGCCTGTGGACTTGGGGGAGAGGTCAATCTCTCAGGCCTCTTCACAGTACACAGGGTGAAACGCTGCAGAATGGTGGTGAGGAAGAGGAAGATCTCCACGTGAGCCAGGTCTGCCCCGAGGCAGATGCGCTTTCCTGTGGACACCAGGAAGCAGCTATCAGTGACACCTCCTATCTGCCCCTTCCTTGGAATCCCTTCCCATCTTCTTTCTCAGATTCTTCAAGCTTCTCTCTGTCTTATCTGCCATCTTCCAACTCTGTGACTGAGGGCAAATCACTTCACTTTGTGGGTCCACTTCTCCATCAGTCCAATGAAAGGGGTCAGAATGAACATTTATGTAATCTGGGTTTCTAGCCAAGCCTGGAGTATTTTGCATGAGACTTTCCTGGTTGAGGGAGAATGCTGATGCAAAGCTGTGTGCCTGTGTCAGGGGGAGAATTGGTTCAAGAAGCTTGAAGAGAAGATATGTTCTTCATGCTCTCTTGGAGGCAGAACTCACATCACTCCAAGATCTATTTTTGGACATGGCCAATGAAGGGATTTGCTTTATTAGAATACACACACACACATATGTAATGAAGCTTTCTTTGTCTTTTCTTTCTTGTTCAGTTCAGGCGAGAAATGAGAGGGAGAGAAAAAATACTTGCTATAAAAACGTTTGTTTTTAAAAGGGCTGTAGCAGAAAAAAACTTCAAGGCTTTAAACCCAAACAGTATTGGTACATCCTACTCCTATTCTGACGAGTTAACCCTGGGACTGTAGTTAAAGCTAGAAGTAGAGAATAGCTCCATGATCTCAGAGATCGTGAGTAGAACACCTGAGAGTGACCAGCAACACCCATGGACCAGGTAAGCAAAGGCAGAAAGGGAGAGGGGAAGAGATTGAACATTTATATGGTGCTTATTCTATGTCAGGCACTATGCTGAGAGCTTTACAATTCTTAACTCATTTGATCCTCACAATAGCCCTAGGAGGAAGGTGCTTATTATTATGCCTACTTTAAGAAATTGAGGCAAATCACAGGTTAAGTGACTTGCCCAGGTAGTAAGTATCTGAGATCTGATTTGAACTCAGCTGTTCCTAACTCCAGGTCTAATGCTCTATCCACAAAGTCCCTAGGTAAGATGCAATGCTGAGCATCATCCCTTCAAAGCCATCAGGCAACAACACCCAGAAGCAATGAAGTATCCACCTAAGGCTACATGCCTGGTAGAGACTGCACACCACAGGGCACCAGTCTGGAGCAGTCCTGGCAGGAGAAGCAAGATGACATTATTAGAAGTCATCAGCAGCCCTGTAGTGTCAAGAGTGATGAACTGACCCTTTGTGTGGGTGACCTAGCCAAGTCTTCCCCAGCTACATATAGTGTGTTCACTTTTTCTCCTGATGAGATATATATTTTTTCAGGATAATGTGTTATGTATGAGGAGAAAATGTTTCCTTGCTACTTTTCTTACCACATTATTTCATTAAAATGCCTCTGTTAGGAAGTAATACTTGTGTCCTCTGTCTAGTAAAATTAAACACATTGATGGGGGCTCACAAGCTATTGTTTTGAATGGATGCAGACACATAAAATACCTTGAGCCTGGGACAACCTCGTCTGGGGGACTCATTGTGTATCGGGTGGGGTGCTCCTCCTTGATATACTAATGGCAGAACTGAGACTCTTGGGGTTTAAGTACCTGCAGTGGTATGGGATAGGTGGTCTCCGGCTTTGTCATGGGAAACTCTCTTGCCCTGTAACAATGAATATCTCTTCCTAGATCTTCTCTGAGAAAGGTGGAAGGAGGAAGAGGAATGTGTTTTGAGGGACTCCCCTTTCTCCTACTCCCATGGTCCCCTGGATTATAGCATTGAGATTTGGAAGGATCCCTAGAGACCATCCAGATCAATCCCCTTCTTTTTCAAGTGGCCAAACTGAGGCTCAGTAAGGTGGAGTGATTTGCCCAAGGTTACCTACCTGTCACATTGGGATATTTGAGTAAGATCAGGAGTCCATAATGGATGGTGGTGCTTGTGGTCTCCGTGCCACCAAAGAATAGGTTATGTGTTGTCATCACCAGTGTCTCCATGTAGAAATGACTCCTGGGATCCTGCTTTGCCTAAGGCAGGAAAATGGGGTCATAGTTTATGGGAGAAGTGGCTATTTGGTGGAGGATCTGAGCCTTTTAACATTTTTGTTGGGTATTTAGGGGTGAGGGCAGGGAAGATACAGGGAAGGGACCAAACCTTGTCCATTTGGTCCAGGAAGCAATCAATGAAGTTTTGAGGCTCTTCAGGCTGTCTGTTCTCCTCATGTTTCTTGATCTCCTTGGAAATGAAAGCCTGTAACTTGTTGAAATTACTGAAGATGCGGTGGTGGGGGCCAGGAATCCAGTCCAGGAAGGAGGGGAAAATGTTGTACATCTGGGTAAGGGGATAAGAAAGAAGAGGATGAGGAGTGTGTGTGTGTGTGTGTGTGTGTGTGTGTGTGTGTGTGTGTTTAGGGGTCATTGCACCAGCTTCCATGAGGGTCCCTCCTCCCACCCCTGCTGTACAGTATGTCCAAGTCATTTCAGGGTCTTCATGGCACGATGGATTGAGTTCTGGACTTGGAGTCAGGAAGACCTGGGTTTGAATGTCATGTCAGATACTTAGTAGTCACATGAGCCTGGGCATTGTCTCGAACCCTCAGATTCTCTTCTTTATCTCCCCTACCCCTCTACCAGGGGCTCTCCTCCTCTTTTAAGAGGATCTCCAGGATGTGTCAATGCTTGGATTGTTTCCCTGCTCCCACCCCCTCTGCCTCCTTTTACCCCCCCCTCCAGTTAAGGTCTTCTTGTGTGGGCCACACACTATAGTCCTGGGTTTTCAGAAGAGTCTGAGTTGGGAATAGCAGGGGACTGAGATCTAGCTATGGCTCACCTGGCCCCATTGGGAACTCAGGATTTGGAAGTTATCATTCAACAAGTTCAGTAGAATCCGGAAATCTGGGTCATCATAAGCATATCGCTGCCCGAACACTACAGAGCAGATGACGTTGGCTACAGCATTGTGAATGTGGTAGAGGGGGTTAAATGAGGCTCCTGGGGAGGCCATGAGGGGAGGAGACAGGTATATTTCAGGCCCCCCTCTCCCCTCACTCCCCTTCCCCCTTGCTCTCCCATATCAAACTTGACTTTCATGTGGCTTACCTCCCCAGACTCTCTCTTTCTCTTTCACATTCCTATGTCTCTATATCTCTGTACTCTATATAATATAACCTCTTTGTCTTGGCATATAAGTGGTATCTCTTTCCCTATATCTCTCTGTGCCCCTGTCCTCACTGCCATCCCTGCTGCTCTGTTTTTCCCTTTCCACCTGTGTTCCTGAGGTCTCAGGTCTGAACCTTGGATGAGGCTGAGCTCCTGAATGAGGGCAGCTGCCTCCTCTTGGATCCGTTCGGCAATGCTCCGGCTCCCTATCCCCAGCTTTTTCAGTGATCCCACAGTAAAGGTTCGGAGTGTGTGCCAAAGGTGGCCATTGGAGAATACAATTCCTGCACAAGGGAGAGAGGGAACAAGAGATAAGGACACAGAAGGAGCAGAGACAGAAGTCAGACAAAAGGGGACAGAGATAGCAAAGGCAGAGAGATAAGACAGAATGGGATGGGGGACAGAGACATAGGAGATAGATATGGGTACAGAGAGAGACAAGGGAAAGGAGATATTAGGGCAGAAACAAGAGGGGGCAGTGATATTGAGGGCAAAGATACAGGGGAGTGAATAGAGACTCCAACCTGGGAGACAGAGATAGAGGACACAGTGACAATGGGGAGGGAGCCAGGAGGGCAGAGATAGGGTAGGACAGAAATATGGAGAGTAAAGATGGAGACATGGAGACTTGCACATGGCAAACAGAGATGGAGGCAGAGTGGGGAGGAGAGGCACAAGTAGAGCAGAGACATGAAAAGCAGAGACTGGGAGAGCAGTCACCAGGGTACTGGTCCAGAGAGAGAGAAAAATGGAATGGAGACTGAGGGAAATGGGAGATGTGAGTCATGAAGACCCAAAGGAGGCAGAAATTCATGGAGGGGGAACGGAGAGATATGGGGAGAGATGAAGACATGATGCCAGGGCCTCAGCATGAAGGGAGGCTCTGTACCTGACCCCCCTCACCTTTGCCTTGGGTGCAGCGGTCAAAAGAGGCCATGCCACCGCGCCCACTAAAGGCGTCTGCCTGCAGAAGCAGAGCTTCCCTGAGAGTGCTGGCTCCACTCAGCACCACGGCTGGCTGTGGGCCCAAGTACACTGTGAACACGGATCCAAAGCTCTTGCTCAGCTGCAGGGGGAACAGGGACCCAGATCAGACTCCTACCTGAAAGCCTGAGGGTCCCTGGCTTCCCTGCACCCAGTCCCTATAGCCCATCTGGAACTGTATTCCCCCCCATTTGGGGTTTTCTTGGCAGAGACACTGCTGTGGTTTGTCATTTCCATCTCTAGCTCATTTTACAGTTGAGACACTGGGGCAAACACAGGGTGAAGTGACTTGCCCAGGGTCACACAGCTAGGAAGTGTCTGAGGCCAGATCAGACTCAGGAAGGTGAGTCTTCCTGACTCCAGGCCCAGCACTCTATGCGCTAGGGCATCCCCTAGCTGTCCAGGAACCTACTGACCCCTGATACCTCAGCCCTCAGTCTGTGTCTTGGGTCCTCTACCTTCAACTTCAGGACCTCAGGGCCAAGGCATCCCAGCCTCTGAGTGTGCCAAGCCCCCAGTCTAGTCCTTGACTCTCCCCACCAGTATGACCTCTAGGAAGGTCCTGAGACAGTGAAGTCTGGGTCTTCCAGCTCCCCCCATCCTGGTCTCTGGGACCCTGATTTTCCAACCCCAGGGGTGACTGTGTCTTGACTTCCCAATGCCTGCCCCACTTGGATCTGGGTCTCCCAGTCCCAACTTCTAGGATCCCATAAATATCCCTTCTCCTTCTGTCTCTGTGGCTTTCAGTGTCTGCCTCTGCTGCACCTAACTGGGCATTTTCCTGTTTCCTTTCAGATGAATCTATCCTCAGGTCCCCATTATCTAGGACCCCTTACAATCCAGCTCTTGCCTCCCTGGTGCTATCTCCTACCTTCATGAGTCGTTTGTCCAAACTCGAAGGACCAAGCTGTAGTAGGTTTCCAAGCAATGGTAGGGGTGTGGGGCCAGGGGGCAGCTGGCACCGAGGGTTCCTTGATCCCTTGCTGTGAAGGGCCAGAGCGAGGAGCAGGAGGCATAGCAAGAGTAGGAGCAGCATTGCAAGACCTGAGCCTGCAGGTGTGTGTCAGAAGCAGCCCAGCCCTGTGTAATTAGGCTTTCTCCTGCCCAGCCTCCTGGTATAAAGTAGAGCCTCTGAGCCCAGTGCCTGAGCTCTTGGGGCTCCAGTCCCAGCGCTTTCTGGCCCCTTTGGTTCATTTTAAAGTACATTTTTTTCAATCAGTAAAAATCTGCTTTCTCACCTTCCTACCTCAAACCCAGGAACTTTTGAAGACTGAAAACAAGCCCTGTTACAAACACATACCAAGAGAAATCAATCAGTGAAAACAAATTTCCACCCTGGCCATTTTCCAAAACAATGTTGTCTTTCTCTGTACTCTGAGTCCTTTACCTCTCTTTGAGGAGGTAGGTAGCTTGTTTCACCATGATTCTTCTGGAATCATGGCTGGTCCTTATGCTGATCAGAATGCCCAAGCCTTTCAGCATTGTTTGTCTTCACCCATAGTGTTTCTGTCTGTTTCTTTCTCTCTCCATCACACACACACACACACACACACACACACATATATATATATATATATGTATATATGTATGTATGAATATATCTCGTAGTTTTTTGAAACCATCCCTTTCATCATTTCTTATAAGACAGCAGTATTTCATCATATTTACATGTAATAATTTGTTCGTCCATTTCCCAATGTATGGGTACCCTCTCAGATTCCTATTCTTTGTTACCTCAAAAGAACTATAAATAATTTTTTGCATCTTCAGATCTTGTTTTTCTTAAGACAAATCCCTCCCTTGATTTACCCTTTCTCTAATTCCACACCTCCATTCTTCACTTTCCCTGTTGAATGAAATGTATTTCTGTACATAATTGTGTATATATATATATATATATATATATATATATATATATATATATATATATGAAGTACAAAGCTAAGGAGTAAATGGTGAGTGAGAGAAGAGGAACCATGGGCAGTGAGAGGAATGTAGAAGGAAGAAAACAGGAATTAAGTCCCTACTATGTGCCAGGCACTGTGCTAAGCATTATACAAACATTATCACATCTGGTCCTCCTAAGGAGGTAAGTGTTATTATTATCCCCATTTTACAGCTGAGAAAACTGAAGCATACAGGGGCAAAGTGACTTGCCTAGGGTGACATAGCTACTCAGTATCTGAGGCCAAATTTGAACTCAAAACTTCTTGACTCCAGGCCCAAGGCTTTATCCAGCTTTTTCAAGGAGTGTGGCTAAGAAAGGGAGGAGAGATATGTGTTGATGAGGTCTAGTGCACAGATTATTTTTAAAAGATAGTAGGGAGTTAGTCATGTGGGTGACATTGGAAGAGACATTAGGTAGAGGCTGGCGATTAGCTGGTGGGGTGATTATGGAGGTAATCTGCTGGAGAAGATGGAAGGGCCAGGATTAAAGATGCAGGTAGAGGGGTTAGCTGTGACAGGAAGGGCCACCCCAGTGTCTGAGGCTTTGGAAAAGCCGGTGAGGCTGGGGGTGAGGTCAAGGGGTTGTGAGATCGAGAAGGCTTAAAGAGAGAATCATCATGACTGGACAAAATTTCTTTTTCCAGTAAAGGAAGAAGGAAGAAGAGATAACATGGATTTATAGTTGATCTAGTCAGTACAGTTATGCAACCTTTGTTAGCTCAGTATGGAATATGAGTAGGAGGGGAGGAGGCCGATGGTGGGAGTCATACAGGAATGGGGTTTGGCAATGGATTCCTTGTGTTTGGATAAGGGAGTGAAGGATTTGATAGTGGACAGTGAAGAATTGACCTGGTTAACTATAGGGTTGAGACTGGGAAGAGAGGGAAGGCAGAGCAGGGATGTGGGTTGAGATGATGGTGGAGTGAAGGCATGGCAGGGACGGGGGGAGGTATACACGGGGAGAGAAGGAAGAAGGGTTAGGGTTAGGAGAGGAATGTGGGCATTTTTGGTCAAGGCTGTGGAGCACTTGGGGGTGGTGATGAAGTTCAGAGTGTGACCATCCCCGTGAGTTGTGGAAGAGCAGATCACGGCATCTGAGGTGCTCAAGGAACTGGAAGGCTGGGGCATTGGAGGGAGCGCCAACATGAACTCAGTGAGTCCAGAAGACGTTGGAACCCTCTTTCCTCCTAAATGCACTGTCCAAGTACCTTCCTGATTTCTGTGGAGGACACCACTGCTCTTCCAGTCACCCAGGCTCAGAACCCCAGAATCCTCCTCACTTTTGGCTCTGACCAACATCTTACAATTCCTCAGCATCTCTTCTATATGTCCCCTCCATTTTGCTCACACCCAAACCAACCTCATCCAGGCCTGGACTATGGCAATAGCCTCCTAATTGAATTCGCATCTATCTCTCCCTCTCTTCAATCTGCCTTCCGCAAAGCTGCCAGTTTGACATTCCTAAAATATACTTCTGACCATGGCGTTCTTTCCATCAAGGAGCTTATGCAGCTCCCCATTGTCTGTAGAATAAAATGGAAATTCCTTGGAATTAGGGCTACAACCCTTTACACTCTGGCTAGAGCTTCTCTTACCAGGTTGATGACATCACTCATCAAGACACACTCCCCCTGATTATTGTTATTCCTTGTGACATTCTGTGACAGTCTATCCCCTCCCTTCATGAAGGTTGTCCCTCCTGCCTGGAACCCTCTTCTTCATCACCTGTGCCTCTTATAACCCCTAATTCACTTCTAGACTCAGTTCAAAGGCAGCTGGTGGTGCAGTGGTTAGAGTGCTGGGTCTGGAGTCAGAAAAACCTGAGCTTAAATCTGGCCTCAAGACACTTCGTAGCTGTGTGACCCTGGACAAGTCATTTAACCTCTGTTTACCTCAGTTTCCTTAAGTGTAAAATGGGATAGTAATTGCACCCACCTCTCAGGGGGAGATCAAACGAAGATCAAATGAAATAATATTTGTAAAGTGCTGAGCACAGTGCCTGGCACTATATAAATGTTTATTCCTTTTCCCTTCCCTTGAAAAGGCCTTTCCTGATTCATCCAATGGTTATATTGCCTCTTCCTGCCCCCCATCACTGTGTATTTATTTAATCTCTGTCTCATGTTTACTCGTCTGTGAACACCCAGAAGAACGGAAGCTTCTTGAGGGCAGGGACTGTCTCACTTCTGCATTTGTATCCTCAGCAGCTTAGCAGCAGTCACGTAGTAAGTGCCATTGATCGTTGTCAAAGGGGATCAGGAGATCTCCTAGTCTCCTTGCTTTTGCCTGGAGTCGTTCTGTCAGTACAGGTCAGATGTGAAGGGGAGGGTGTGTACAGCTTCCCCCCACCCTTCCATGTCCAGAACTCCTGCCCTGGACACCAGCTGTCCTGATTGGCGTTCGTCTTGGTTACTGACTACATCTAGTGCCAGGGTCCCTCTGGAATTCTCTTCACGCTCCAGACATTTTCTCACCTGATGCCTGCTCTAGCCCAATGCGTTCCAGTTCTGGTACATAATCAAATCTCCTCTGTCACTGCTCAGGGAAAGGGTATGTCATCCTGCTTCCCCATAGCCCCTCTCACCATCTTTGTAAATTTCTAAACCAAAATCTCCCTGGCTACCACTCTCCTGTATGTGTTGTCTTCTCCCGTTAGAATGGTCAGGTTCTTTACTTTACTTTGGTATTCCTTACCTCTGAGCTTAGCACACAGTGAGCATTTAATAAAGACCTTTTTGTTCACTCATGGAGTAGAAGGGAGTCTAACAAGATGTCTGAGTGCTTTATGCATTCATTAGTTATATAGTTATAGAGGTTTTATGTTCATAGCTTCTTTTGATTCCTTTGGAACTTTATACATTTTATTCAGGCAGCAAATAAAGGCTGTCCTATACCTGAAATGCATCTAGGACATTCAGTGCCTGTAAAAGACTTGGGAACACTTGCTATATTCATTTTGGAAATATAAGCTATTACCTTTTGTCCAGACCTGTAATTTCACCAATGTCATGAACTCCTGGTGAAGAACCTCCCTCTTTCAATTTAAATTAGCAGCTGTTCAGCAATTTATAATCTTAAGGAGTTGCTTGGGGGGCTCTGAAAGGTTAAATGTCTTCCCCCGTGTCACTGAGACAGTATGTCTAGAGTTGAACCCAACCTTCCTGATTCTAAGGCTGGCTTTCTGTCCTCTGCACCTTGTTGCCTCTAAAGCTATACAATGAGAATATTTGGAGATTTTTCTGGAGATTTCCAGATGGAAGCAATTATCCAAAGAGAGAAACTGACCCTCTTTGGGTCAGCTGCAGTCCAGAGTCTTTGGTGGAGATTAGGGTCGGGGGAGACCTGAGCCCATAAGTCACCCACATCACAACCCAAAAGCATTCTCCAGTGGATAAGTGGTCAACAGAAATGTGAAAAGTTTTTTTTTTAAAGTCAAACTATTAGTAATTTTTGGAAGACTACTCCAAATCACTAATGATACAAGAAATGCAAATCTAAATAATTCTGAGTTTTTTCTTCACATCTAGAAAATTGGCAAAGATAATGAAGGATGAGAATAGTTAATGTTGCAGGGCCTGTGGAAAGACAGACACACCAATACATTGTTGGTGGAGCTGCGAATTATTTCTACAATTCTGGAAAGCAATGTGGAAAGACCAGTTAATAGACAAATATTTATCAAACTCCTATTATATTCCAGGCACAGGTGATGAAATACAATGAAACAGTTATACTAAGAAAGTGACTAAACTGTCCATAGCCTTTGACCTAGATATCTCATTGCTAGACATATATCCCAAGAAGGTCTAAGGTCCAATATGTCCCTCAGATAGTCAGAGAAGCCCTTTTTGTAGCTGCAAGAGCTGGAAATGCAGTAGATGCCCATTGATTGGGGAATGGTTATACAAGTTGTGATACCTAAATGTGATGGAATATTACTGTCTGGGAAGAAGTGATGAATATGAAACATATAGAGAGTCGGGGAAGGCTTATATGAACTGAAATAGAGTGAAATAAGTAGAGGCAGATAAACTGTGTCTTACATAGTGACTACAACAATGTTTATAACAATATAAAGAATAACAACAAATATGGAAAAAATGCTGTATAATAATAGTAAAATAAAAGTAAAGGGGCAGCTGAGTGGTACAGTGGATAGAGCACGGGGCTTGGAATTAGGAAGACTCATCTTCCTGAATTCAAATCTAACCTCAGACATTTAGTAGCTGTGTGACCCTGGGCAAGTCACTTAACCCTGCTTGTCTCAGTTTCCTCATCTGTCAAATGATCTGGAGAAGGAAATGGCAAACCCCTCCAGTATCTCAAAGAG